CACAGCTCGGCCAGGTGTATACGGTAGTTGGCAGCATTCCTCAGCGAGAAAGATGAGTCTCGGCCGTAGGATAAAAAACAGGGAGAGAGTAGGCGTGAGCCGGTCGATTATACGCATAGCCACAGAACGTCAAGCGAGCTCGAGCGCCGATGATGGATATCGTAGGCAATTGTCTCTCTCTCTCTCTCTCTCTCTCTCTCTCTCTGGCGCGCGCGCGCCGCTGTCCGTCTATCGAGAGCTGTCGGCAGGTGCGCACGTGCGTCTGATTCCCATAAGGATCTCGCCTCCGGCTAAGCTTTCGTTCCTTCTGTTTGCTCTTTTCTTCTCCTGCTGCGGTTTTGCACGCATGCGTGGCAGCTACATTCAATCGGCTGACTGGCTGGCGTTGGAGGCCTTGATTGACTTGACTTGACCAGGCCCGCGCGCATCTACATATCGTGGCTATGAGCGTTCCAGTTCGAATGATTCATTCGACGCATCGCAGATAAGCCGCTCGATAAGAATGCCTTGACGGGTCATTGGCAACTGTATTAATTATCATCGATACAATATGACCTTGGCGCCATCGATGATCTTAAGACAATGGGAAAGCTGAAGGAAAGCGCAATCCAAAGCATACACGAGTAGAAGAGGAGAGGAGCAGAGAAAGAGAGAGAGAGAGAGAGCGAGAGAGAGAGAGAGAGAGAGAGAGAGAGAGAGAGAGAGAGAGAGAGAGAGAGAGAGAGCCCAAAAAAGAAGACTGCGAAAAAAGTAGAGTGAATTTATAGGCGTGGCAGAGGTGGCTCGAGCGCGGACTCTCGAGGTAGGAGCGCGCGTGACTGATGCTGCCCACCTGTGGATTCATTCACTAATCTCCTCGCTAAGCAAACAGCCGAGCGCACCCCGTCATTATCGCTGACGGCGTAAGTAGCGCCGCCGCCATACGCGCCGCACTCTCTCTCTCTCTCTCTCTCTAGACTATATATATATACCTGCATAGCATGCGAGGCCGATATTTATTGCGCGCACCCAATCTTCCACGCAATTTCGCCAGCTTTCTTCTCCTTCGTGTGCGCTTGGCACCTCCTTCCTCCTCTGCATCTTGGGTTTTTCTGATAGGTAGCCGCGGCTTGAAGAGTCCAAGGGAGAGCGAGAGAGAGTGAGAGGTGGGGAGGCTCGCGTGCACCGCGCGGCCGCTTTTGAAAATCAATCGCTGCGCGCAGCAGCTTCAATCGAACGCAGCCACCGGCATATTTATTGCGTATAGCGTGAACGTTTCGACTCGGATTGGGAGAGCAGCCGTTACGCGCAGTTTTCCACGGACGCAAACTATCACTTATAAGTGGAGGACAATTATTCACGGAGCGTTGCAATTCTCGGACGCGTGCATAAATCGTGCGCGCGCGCGCGCGCCTGTGTGCCTGTGTGTAGAGTGGGCCTCGGAGCGGGCGCGAGAGCGAAGAAAGGGCTGCAGTTCTCGCACGGACGCGCATACGTATGACGGAGTGCCGGCAAGATTGCCAGACCACCGGCGTTATGTCCGCGCTAATAGCAGTGATTACCCTGCCTTGTCGAGTGCCGTAACGGAGAGCGAAACGCCTCCTTATCCTCCTCCTTCTTCTTCAATTGATGGATGTTTACCCAAAGCGCGATAGCATCTTGCAGCGCGGGCAGCGCTTCGCGCAACCGATAATCGATTTTCAGCAATTTTCGCCAATTTTACGAGACGCTTGTTACCATCGCTTTCAGTCGCACGGATGAACGAGCGACGAGGTGCGCCGACGTTTACACAGATATTATACTGATTTTCAATGGTCCCAGTTATGAGGTCACTTTCAATTTATATTACATGCCAACGACAGAGCAATTTTATCAATGTAAGTGAAAACTTGATTTGCGCACCAGAGACAATCGTTAATATTCATTTTCAATGTATTAGAACGTGACAATACATTTAAATAATTTATTGTTTGATTAATGATACGTTGTTACGTTATGAGGCGAATCTGATTGAAAATCAAGTTTCCATCCTTTCAACCTACGTTCTATAACGATAGAGATGTCCAGAGAACCATTATTGCAAATAAAAAAATTATATTAACGAGAAGTGCAGCGTGCATCTAACATCATAAATCAAGGGAAATGAATAATGTTAGAGAATGATCATCAATTAGTCGGCTGCTACAACTCGCGTCGATCCAACTCGCGCGCTGCCTCCATCATTTCAATTCATTACGTCTAAGTTTTTATCTATTTAATTACTTTTGTAAAGAGCTGCATTCAATTTGAACACACAAAACACTTGAGGTTTGTTGGTTGTTAGATGGACTATCAACTAATACGATGGCGATATAGAAAAGTACAAAGTACCCAAAAACATGGTTCACTAATCGTGAAAAATGTTAATGGAAAGCATATTCCGAGAAGAAAAAAACGAGAGAAACGTATTTCTGTAGCCGATATTAATGCTCCTCTTAAACAATCAATAACTCAACAGCCTTAATCGCATAGTGAGTGCGTTTATACCCTTCCATCTATAAGCTGTATATGCATATAGGTGGATGCCAACCTGCGCGAGAGAGGAGGTTCGTGTAAACGATAAATCACGATAAATATGTTTGCCTGGACCATTATAAACGAGAAAAGAAGCAGATCTAGAGAGGCAGAGAGAAACTGCATGCATTACGCTAAGTTTGTATGCACGCGTAAAAGAATGGAGGATAGAAGAAAGACAAAAATTAGATTCGATCGAATCGTAAGAAAAAAAAGACAGTTGATGCAGGAAAACAAATAGAGAACGAGAAGAGGGATCGAAAAAAGAAAGATAGACTCATAGGTGTGTCTGTGTGTGCATTCGCTGGCACCTCGGGCTACTGCTTTCCTCTTCGTATCCTCTTACGTGCACGAGTATTACGATCGCTTAAGTCCAGTACCGGGCGGACGGTGATCCATCGCTGCAAATTCTACGAAGCCACTCGTTGAGCCTCGAGGCCCTCAACTCGCCTCCTGATTCTCTTCGACTAATGAGTCTCATAAAAATAAGTGCAAACTGTACTCTAAATAAACACTCCTCTAAATTGGCTACGATGTATTTGATTCTTTGCTCATTTTCTTCTCATACATTTTTCATTATTTATTTTAATTACTGGTTACACTTGTCATCTCTTTCTCTTTCTTTTCACATTGCCATCATCGTGTAAATACATAATGTTTCTTTGTAATCTATATGCCAAGTAGTTTTATATCAGAATGCTTGGAGAAACTTTATAGATGAAAAGTATACTTATACCAGGTCGTCGTAAAGTTATGGTGATTAATTAACAGGACGGAGGAAACGAGATTGTTAAGCAACAATAACGTTGCTTTGAATTAGAATAAACGGTATTAGATTTAGACCAGATAAATACAAGCGCAGAAAAAAAATTGAATGCTTATGACATTCTTATAATGCTTCGGAAGGAGGATCTTACAAATAGAAATGTAATATACAGAATGGCAGAGGTATGGTATTTAGAGAGGAAAATAGAAGAACAAGGCAGAGGCAGTAAAAAAAGAGTGAAAAGAAAGACGTAAAGAGAGGGGGAGTGAGAAAGATAGTTTAGGCATCATATAGCAAAGAATGAAAGGCTGCGGGGGGCTCATCATTGCCGGCCCTCGAAGATCAGAGCCAACATGCAGGGCATATAGGCAGGAAATTTCTACAGGTAGGCACGAGGCCCCATGGGGCCACACTGGCTGTTTGTTTTATACCTTAGTTACACAAACGTGAGATCTACGACCGATATGTGTAACGCTAGTCCTCGTCTGGGATTTGAAACCCAAACCTTCTTGTGACGCTTCATTTTTTCCAGTTCGCAACGACGATGCGCTCTACCAACATCGTATAATTCCGAAATTACTCATGCGTCATCATTCACAATTTTCATCGGAATTTTTCTCTCAAAATCATCGTCACAACAAACTTGTAGAATAGTCTATGTACGTCGAACAGAACGGACAAATCCAATATACCTTTTATGTCGATTTGCAGTTAAAATAATTTAAGCTTTTGCTTTCAAACGATTATTTCGAAGCGAGCTTAACATTGTGCGGTGAACAAATGAGAATCCTCAATCTGATTCTCCCAAATAGAAACAAGACATTACGAAATTCAATAAAACTCTCGGAAACAGAGACTAGATGTCTCCAAACGAGGTACAAAAGTATTAGGGTTGAATCCGAGAAGATAAATTTTTATTAGGATCACGGGAGTGACCGCCCATGGGTGGAAGCTTTCGCCACGTCTCATCATTTATGGATCGCATCGATTCAAATTCCAGGGCCTCGGCACAACAACACGCGCACGACATGCGTGGTGATTAATATTCCGCCGTTATATGCCGCAGCTTCTACATCTTCGCTCTCGTGGTCACTCTCACGTTCATTATCACGCTTTCGAGAATTCAGTGTTGTCACCGGGCATGCCAAGCTAACGGATCTCCGAGAATTCGCGATGTTATCGCCTTCTATGAAAAATTGTAACATTATGCTGCTTTTCAACATTCGATTATTCCCACGAGATTTTTATTAGCTCGATCAAGTCTTTTGATTTGTCTTTTCTGTGACTATCAATTTCATTTATTTATTTTTTTCGATTGTAGAACAATTTCTTCTCGCCCGCTATTAAATGAATATGACTTTATAGTCTGTAGGGCTTCAATTTATAATCGTTTTACATGGCGTTAATTACTACACTACATAAAAAAATTTCTATTTTATAATTGTAAACATGAACTGTTTTCAACAATTTTTTTTTTATAATTCATAGAGTTTATCTTATCTGAAAGAGCTGAAACTAGGCAAAAGTAATTCTTTCAAAGATTGCGCTCTGAAAATAGGTCTCTGGCTGCTTTGCATTCTACTAGTTAAAAATACAGCTGTCATTAAATGAAGACAAATTGCCGTATTGTAAATGCACCTGTAAGATTGCCTACACGATGGCACCAATTTTGTAATAAATGCAAAATATTTTGATAACTTACCTCAGTGTCGATCTTCTTGAACTCTACGTCGTCCTCGTCAACTTCAAAGTACAGCTCTGATGACGTAATTGATATAATTCCAGGAGCAACAATGCCTGGAGCCACGAGTTTCCCTTTAGTGCTGATATTTACTGGACCTAGGAGAATGCAATAATATTGGAATTGAGGATTTGCATTGAGAAATACAAGAGACGGAGGAAAGTGAAAATGCATTCATACCAACGAGGTCAGCGTCGAGATCTCGATCATCGGTTAATAGTTCACTGTCGTCCATGAGATCCGTCGATTGCAATTGCTGTTGGTGTACCCTCGTTGCAGCAAGATGAGCATGAAATTCTTCTCGAGCTTGGAGGATTGCATCCTCAGGGGCACCATGCTCAATGGCAGCCTTTAAGGTCGCTTCCGGATGACTCGAGCCTAAAGGATTGTGTACGAAACGTTTACGTCTGCGTGCATCGTCCTCCCAAGCATCCAGTTTCCAGTACTCGGACAATCTGAAAATTTTTGTCGTAATAGTGACGTTGTTATATAAATAAAAGAAGGAACTTTTTTAACTATAAATGAAAAGTAAAAATAACTTACTTGGCTGCCATAGGATCCATGTAACCCCAAGCACCATGTTTATTCGACAAGATATTTCGAACTTTTTCAAGTAGTCTACTAGCAATGACGTTATCTCTCCTTCTTGCAGCTGTTATTAAATGATCACAAGTCTGTTCTTCTTCTCTTCTGTCAAGTAACGTTTGAGCACACTGACTCTGTAATTATTTTATCAAGACAGTGAAAACAATGTTTATTCTATCGATTGTTACAAATAAATGACCACATTTTACCTCAAAGTCAGCGTGTTTCAGCACATCATCAGCTCGCATTCTATTTAAAATGAATTCTGCTTCGTTTGCCACGCGTACAATATGATCTTTCATCGCATGGGATAAAAGCCTGAAAATATTTGCGAATTATCGATAAATGTATTGCTTTAAAACTTCATTTAGCAATAACAATAGCAGCTCACCTTCCCTCATTTATGAGCTCAATAAACGCAAGTCCTGCGTGTTTTTGAAGAGAGTTTTGCCATTCTTGGGAGCATAAAAGCATAACAAGCTCGACAACAGAATTACTGTTCTTGAATGTTGTTAAACCTACATAAAAGAATGAATGTTTTCAAAGATATGTTACAGTAAAAACAATAAATGAAATAAAGTATGATTTTAATTTTTGAAAAATCTGTTAATTTAAAGAATAATATCAACTTACCTTTTCCCTCCATGAGGAGCTCTTGGCCATGTGAACCAACAAGCGTTTTGGATAGGAAAGGTGCAAAGTCAACCATGATTTCGCGAAGCAATGGACAAACCGAGCCAAGAGCCATCTCTAACTTTTGCGTTAACGAAGCTTCGCGGGACGGTGTCGGTATTGGTAGATGATCAACGAGACCCTTAATTGGTAAATCATCTGGTCGTGGTGAGGCGACTGTCACCAAGTGATCAGGAACACGAACTACTGAGATCTCCGATGTAGGTTTTTCGCCTCGCTCTGAGTTGAGCATTTCTTGATCTAGCATATTGCCTTCATTGTCAGGAATTTCGCCTACAATGAATTGTTCGCATACTTAAAAAAAAAGATTTTTGTAGAAAACTGAACGTTCTTCGATATTAGCTTTCCTTTTTACCTCGCGAATGGACCATATTCTGAATGTTCCTTGGATCATCGCGAGAATTTGTTACAGCATCTCCGTCTTCGTTTAAATTAACGTCGGTCCAAGCTTCTTCTGACGAATTATGCTTATTTTCATTATCAGTCGTTATTTCTGATGGACTCGGATCAGCTGTTGCATTATTCCGGTGCATTACATCTTCACTTGAATCATTGCTCTGAAAGAATTTCCGATATTCTCGTGGAATCATTAGGATTTTCATAAAAAAATTCATTAGTTGTCGTATACGTTCTCGTTAATGTCAAAGTTCGATCATTGCGTTTGTATATTTGTATACTTTGGTTGATTATTATTATATTATAAATTTCTATTCATGAACTGTAATAAAAATTATTTGAACGACATAATTACTTTTCTTAATGAAGTTTATAGGACTCAAATGAAAAGGTTGAAAGCTATTGAATTGTTACATATTTAACGATGGCTTTTCAAATTTTATAATCATAGACTTGGTTATGGGTGATAAATTCTAGTGCATGTTAAATTTAGTTAGAGTATAAATGGCCCCATGTAATATTTAAGAGCTGTACACAAGATATTTATTAACAGTGAATTACACATCCCCAGTCAAATATAAATAGTTATTGTTGAATTGGGAATAAAATTTAATATTTAATATATAAAAAAATGTTAATTGGTCTAGCTAATTGTCACTGGTCTTCGCTAGTTTTGTACAATACTAGTCACGGAATAAACTAATCACTGACAAATAATTTTTGAATTTATTCCCTTATTACAAACTTTCGTGTAAATTGTTGTCAAATTGAAAACGATTTAGATTATAATTTTTCAGAAGTTTTCTCTAACAAAAGAAAAACTGAAAGTTTAATGAATAACAAATAATAATGTAGTTCTTTAAAATTGATATTGAATTTGTATTAAATACGGAATTTCTTACGATAGTACAATTACATGTTTTGTATACTATAATATCTACTGACACAAATATATTTACTTTTATTACACGCGATACATAGAAATATGAAATATCTAAATCTATTATCCTATATAAATAAAATAAAAGAGATATGTTCGGATGAAACTTGAAGCTATTAAAGTTTGTGTGCGATAAACATGATAATTCTTGCATGCAATTAAAATACAGAATTATTAGTAAAATGTATAGGCTATTTATAGTAGGGAATAGAATTACACAGAAAATGCATAGAGTATTTTATGGTTATAAAGCCGATTATATATTGCACTACTAATATTCAAATTGAAACTGACATACCAATTAATTAGAGTTTTAAAAACAATATAAAACGCATATTTAATTGCGATCACTATTTTAAGCACAGATATACAAAATATTTAACTTCACTATATAATATTATTTTTCTATTTAGTAACAACAGATTAGAGTCGGTACTATCACATAAAAATTTATGTAGTTAATACTAAAACTGAAATTAGATATTGACCACTGAGATAATTGATTTTACTTAAAATATTATTATTTGATTTTCAATTGTCAAAAAAATAACATGAGACATGTAGTGTACAATTTTCCAATTACAATATGATATATAATGCAATAATTGAAAAATTCAAATATTTTGATAAGTTATTTTGAATCATCTGTTAACATTTCGAATACATGGTTGTTAAGCTTTCTAAACTCAAATGCATAAATAGTAGCAAAAGCATTTCACAAATTTAATTAATAATTAACTAGGTTTGAAATGAATAAATTAAAGAAGATTCTTAGAACAGTAATTACTATAAACTATTTCAGAATTCCATAACAATTTTTCGCAGTCACAGATATTTATTATGGATGTACTTTTTCGTGAAAATTGTTTATTAGAAATATCGGATATTAATAATATTGTTACTATAACCTTTTGAATTTAACATATTTATATACGAGATCATTTCAAAAATACGGTCCTCATTTTTTATGTATAATAGTTAATTTTTTAATTATAATAATAATTTATCCAACCCCAAGAATTACATTACAAAACATTTATAAATAAGTATTTTGAAACATCCATTGACTATTTTAGAGTTTTTTTTCAAAACACAGTGCGGAAAGTACGACTTTGTCGTACGTTTAGCGTAAAACGTGTGCTCAAATTCGCAGTTTCCACATTTCCGAATTATTTTGAAAAATACCGTACGGTACGTATTCAGTACGGAAGAATTTGTTTCCTAAATATGTATCATACGGTATTTCTTTTTCGATACTCCGAGCGCAAAGTGCGTCTTTCCCGCACGCTCAGCAGAAAACGTGTGTTGAAAATCGCACTTTCCATACGTCGTATCAAAAAATACGGTACGGCACATGTTCGGGACAGAGTTTCTCGTCTCGTGTACCTTTCCACCCTCGTTTCGCTCGGACGTAAACGTCACACGAGACAAGAATCTACTTTTCCGCACTTGTATCGTAATGAATGATGAATGATGAATGATGAATCAAATGTTAATTAATTGCTGACTTGAAATTAAAATAATGACTAACGATCCAAAAATATGGTTGCGAACAAGAATGATTGTAATATTCTAGTAATCGAATGATATTTTTAAAATTAAAAATGTTTGCTTCATGCGAGGTTATTCTAATTAATATCATTTGCAATTTGCTATTAAAGCAATTTTGAAGGTAACAGGGATATTATACGTAACACTAATTATTTTGTATATCAATACAATAATAGTTGACCTTTTGTGACGAATTCATTTCCACTTATTATTTACCAGTTCGTCAAAAACTATTATGTAGTAAATGTATCAATCTATCAATGAATATTTACCATTACCATTTTAAATATAAGTAACAGAAAAGGTAATTTTGTATTTCCGGCTGCATGTTTTACCTGTGCATTACGAGGAAGTGGTACAGTTCTCGCAGAGCAAAGTGTAGTTTCCGTCGACGAGTAATCTTCAAGGATTGTCCTTGAGCGAGGCACACTACGATGGCCACCCTTCAGTATCGGAAGTTAGTACGCGCAGCAATACAAGTACAAATGAAGTTAAAAGTGAAAAATAGCCTTAAAGAATCCGAAGCATGATTTTGTTGTTGAGATTTATTAGTTTTTGGTGATTATTGAAAGTAAATCACATTGTAAAAGAGTACAATTTCAGTACATCGTAAGTCTTTTAACACGAATGTAAGATCTAAGTTGATCAGAAGTAATTTATTAAAATTAATATTGAGGAAATAATTAAATAAAATTATATAAAATTATTCAACAATATTTTACAAATAAGTGTAAAAAAAATTGAATTGACTCTTTTACGGTATAAACTTCGATACATGTTTAGTAGTATTGCTATGAAATACTTTCAATTCATGCAGTTTTATTCCAAATTTACGCAATTCATTTTAAAATTCTCATGCTGTGGTAGTATTGGCAATCAAAATGAAGTATAATAAATTTCAGCATTAATACTTTATAGCATTACATGATACCATTGAAACAAATGAAATTTTGATACGTCTGATCTTATTATTAAAATTCTACGAACTAATTACTACTTGATTTTTAAACACATGCAATTTTTATTTTAAAGCTAGATTAACCAGTTTGAGAGAAAATATATAGCACAGTGCAATAGTTATTCTAAAGTCAAGAGTTAGTACTGCACGTCACTAATACAAAAAGCACGTTAAAAATTAAGAACTACAGTTTTTCAAAGTTTTTATCTACAATAATAGTGCTTCTCCACGGAATCAATTCTTTAGTTGAAAAGACTAAAAATTGAACGAATAAAAACTGATTTCTTCACAATTAAACTAAGCTATATCTGCATATAATTTCCGTATTCATCATGAAACCCTCATGAAAATCATAAGAGATATATTTTTTAATAATTGAATTTGAAAAACTGTACCTTAGTGGAAGGTGGCCCAGACGAAGGAACATCGTGATCAGCTAATATAGATGAATTATTTTCATCAACAATAATAACTTCGTACTCTCCATCATCTTGAGATTCAGATTGACTCATAGCTCCTCCAGTTTCTGAAATGATTCATATATTGTCAGATATATTGTTTCCTTGCACTAATTAAATTTATTTAAAAATTGTTTGTCATGCTTATTTAATGTGGAAAAAGAATACGGTAGCTTATGATCGCACTCAAAGTATTTTATTCTTTATTCAGCTTGATTTATCAATCTAAATAGACTTGTCTAATAAATTCAATAGTACCAATAATCTTTATTTTGGATAAATTTTGGATAATATATTCTAGTCTATAGTGATAAATCATGTGATTTTATCACTAATTTAAACAAATTCACGTCCTTTATTATTAATGTTTTATCCGCATCCTAACTATTATGCTTCAAGAATATTTTGTATTTATTTTCTCCCCTAGAAGAATATGATAAACAAAGTAGAAATTTGTCAATATAATTTTAAATAGTTTTGTGTGCAATTTTAAGCTCGTTAAAACACGATTCCAACAAAATCACGTATTTATCAACGTATTATATGACTATCATCGTTAAAAAAATGTACAAGGAATAATGCAACATTCAGATCTATAAGGGCTCGAACACAATATTGTTCATTCACAATAACAAACAAGCTAATCAACTTAAAAACATGATATCCGAAAAAATATATTACATGCTGTAATTACACTCATAATAGGTATATTTTGCATAGTGGTAATACAAATGCTATGTCACTCAAATAAAATTTAAAAAATGGACAGAAACATTAAGAAAAATATAGTCTTACACATCTTTTAAGCTACTGTTATAATTGGAAACTTTTTGTTAATAAAATTAAAAGTTATTAAATTATAATTGAACAAATGTCTTCAAAACACGAAAAATATTGCGAAAAATTTCAAAAACTATTGTAGTAGGGGTGGCTGTTTTGAGAAAAGCATGTTTATCATTACATTGTAGAATATTACTTTATTTGTACTTCCTTATTTATTCGAATTTTAATTCATATAACTATCAAACATGATGCTAATTTTTATCGTTACTACTATGTACAAATTGTCAGTAGAATGTAACAATTATACATCTGAAGTCTATAAGTGTGTCGTCAACTATAAGCGCCATAAGAAGTTACCCATGCGGTGCAAAATGGATACATTTCAATTCTTTGCATTCAATGGGAAAAATTACATACTCATTTCAGAACGAAAATTCATAAAATAATTATATATCATTTATTTATACTGAAAAATACACGGGATGTTTTATACATTATTAAAAAATGTATTACATCTTTTTTTCATACGTAATAGAAGTAACACATTTTCAAGGGATACTAACAAGAATAAAAGTATCAATTAATGTTAATTAATGAATTTTACAATAAAAAGAACTTTGTCTCCTACAGTTTTAAAATTGATTTTAATTATTTGGATAAATACATATTTTGCAAAAATATGTTTGTACTAGAGTGACATTGTAACAAGTAGCACGTTATTTCTCACGAAGCTTTACCCTTGACAACATTAACTAAAATTAAAAATAAACCAAGTATATACTCGACTTTAAAAAAATAAGTGGCGGTCAAACTATCAAACTATAAAAGCAGAAGCATAATGTGTTTTTATTAATAACGATATTATCATTCGTATCAATTAAAAATTTTTTTGAATCACTATATGCCTTCAATTCAGTGAAAATTATTTAAATGAAATGATTTCTTCAGTATGGATAAAATAAGTTATTAAAAAATTTAATTGCCATTAAAAATTTTTATTTTTCGAATATTTGCCGTTTGTTTCACCAAATTAGTGGAATTATTGAACCCATGATTATGATTTATTAATTATAAGTATAAAATTATTTATGATTATCATCAAAGTAAGATGATATACCATTAATAGATATACATCTATTCCTAAGCCTCAAGATTTAATAAACAAAATTGGAAACTAAGGCGACAAAATTTTGGACGCAATAAACTATAGTTTTTGTATCCCATTTCCCGAATTTTGAAAAATTTTAATAATCGACAGTGAGTTTCCAGATCACATAATCAACTTGGAATTTAATTTTAAAAACAAATGAAAACTGATAGATCTAAAAATGAAAAAGTTTAAAAAAATTATGACTTTGGAAACGTTCATGTTCACGTGACAGTATGCATTCTACTCATATAACGGAATGTACTCTGAAGACCCTACAAAGTGTAATGATTTCACACAAAAACATATAACTAAAAAAAGGAGAGCAGGCAAATTAAAATGGCAGTTGTTCAAACATCAAGATGAAAATGTAAAAATACAATGGATAGAAAACAAGATTAGATATGGACAATAAAGGAACAAAGGAGGCATTCCGTGATAACTATCTATGGACAGGCAAACGAAACGAGACGTCAATTACCTTGCAGACCGTAACCAGAATTTCTATGATAAACATTTCGGGGTTGATCGATATGCTTTTGCAGCACATGATGATGATTGTTGTTATTGTAATGATGGTAATGATGATGACGATGATAATTGTAATTATTGGAATGATAGTTATGGTGATTGCTATAATGATTGGGTATATAATAGCCGGCAGCGATCGCGGGATTGTTCGCTTGCCGACGGCGGCGGAAGGCTTGTTCGGACGCCGACGGTGGCGGCGCGTGCTCGTGGTGGTGCTGGCTCACGTGATGGTTGGCATTAGCATTGGGGTGGGATCCCGGAAGGAACTGAGGATATACGTGGTGCGACCACTGCGGAAACAACGGTCGACCTCCTCCACCACCGTTGTCTTCTGCTGTGGACAACCACATCCAGTTTTGTTACGATAAGCTACTTCAGTTTCTTTCAAACGTTCTATTCTTTTCACATTTTATTTTCCACCTTCTCCATTTTTTATTATCAGCATTTACACTAAATTAGTGAAAACATCATATATCATACCCATTGATATTTCTTTTATCGACGGCGAGTCGGTAAAGTTGTAGTGAAAGTAATGACTACTTTTTATTATGTGAAATTGAGAGTTTTTCCATCTTAAAATATCATATACTCTTACCGGACATTAATTCGCGACTGGCGAAGTTGAAAATCTGAATTATTTTCGACGATTGAGCATCGATGACATCAAACAGTTAAGTCAAGGGTTTATTTTGGCAAGTTGTGTTCTCGTAACTTGTCAGAAAGAACTGATTTCATGCAATCGATGCTCAATCGTCGAATATAATGTGAATTTTGCGAGTCGTGTGAATTAATATTCGGACAGTATACTCAAAACAAACATTAAACAAGTTTTTTTAATAATTATAAGATGACTTCTTACTCTCTATCGGTAAAGTAGGAATTGTAGTAACGGTATTTTTTTCGACGGTGTATACAAATTTAATAAAAACTTTTTGCTGTATTTGAAGATTAAATTATTTATTTTAATTTAGAAACTCTTTTGTGCTATTTATTGACCCTTGTGGCAAGACAGCGGGTATTTTGAATATTTTCAAATTAATTATACAAACATATGCTTTTTAAAATGTCTTTCTATATAGTATACTATAAAAGTATGTCATAGTTTACAATTTTATTTTATTTTTCCACAGTTTCCCTTTCCGTTTAAATAAAGTATTGTACACATTATTATATGAATATGAGAGTTTTTAAATGGATTGCCTATTACTAATGATTAATTTGAAAAATATTGCATACTTTTAGTAGGTATTTATGTAAAGTCTAAGAGCAATCTACCATATCTATATTAACTTAATAAATATTACAAATTATTAATGCCCTAAAATGCACTTCTTAGAGATACTGAATAGAGAAATTTTGTAGTAATTGTCATCAATGGTTGCCCTACATTATAAATTATAAGTGTATAAAAATATTATTATTGATAAATCTGCGTAGGTAGAATACGACTAATTATTTTAAAAGCAGTTTTCTCACACCTATCTACATAATTCAACGATAGTTTCCAGCTGGCATTTATGTTTATTTTAATTTCGAATATAAAATACTAGGGCGTTATAACCAAAACGACATCAAGAACGCATGATTGGATTTTAACATTTTTGTGAAGAAACTGTTGCATAAAACGTTCTGAAAATGATGAGGATATGAATATTCATAGATAATAATTTTTTCATATTTCCAATGTCTCTATCATTTAGACAATCTATTTAAAGGGAATTACAACAATATTTGCCCAGCCAGTATATCTATAAAAGCGTGCAGCAGGGCCCAATAATCGAATAGTTATTCGACATTTCGATGAATTTATTTTTAATTAAAATGTAAAAAATATGCAATTTTCCTTATTTTAAACAATTTTAAACAAAGGAATATTGTGATTGTAGATATGCGAAAAATCGAAAAATGTATGAGAATATTTGAATGATATTATATTGATATGAATTTGTATTTGTATACAAAATGTGCAAATACATTTGACAAACATCAAAACTCTCACTGTCAGATACAAATAATACAAAAATACTATATAATATTTTGATGCAAGTGCTTCCGTGCATGCAGGCTATCAAGAAATGTGCTGAAGTGCGTCATGTAATTAATTTCAAATTGTGCATATTATGAGATCCTGTTATTATATAAAAACAGATTGGAATATTTTTTGACAAAGGGTGCATTGACATTGTGCAGTAACATTAAGGGATTGATTGGATAAAGTCATACTTTTGTTTCTATAGAAGGCTATAAATTGTATTATGCATCAGTATTGTCGCAAATAGCATTAAGGCGTTGTGTTTATCATGCTTTCACTGTTTGACAAATGTTATATCGACGATTTTAATTTATTAATGAACCTTAAAAATATTAACATATTTTCAACAATTTCTATCTATAGCAATGTATACGGAAAAATTTTCCCACACCATAGAAAGAGAGAAACATGCTCTTCATGTTAATAGTTAATTGCTAAAATTAATATATCTGACATGTAAGAGTTTTGAAAATCATAGAAGTCTCAATTTATTTAATTTTATTATGTATTATGTCTAATAATAATCTAATTATTAAAAATTTATTCATAATTTTTAGAATTAAATTACGTAGATCATAATTTCTCGGAATTACTTTTATTTTGTGGTTGAATGGTTTAATAAGTTGAAAATTTGAAGATGTAATAATCAAATACTTACAAAATGCGTAGATTTCAATGAAATAATATAACAATTCCTCACTCATATATATATAAAAAATCAAAATAATATGTTTCATTAGCACAATAGGACGTATTTATACAAAATTCAATATTTTTTAAATTTATCTAATGAATCCAATATATATTCTTAACTTTCATTTTAATATAAATGTTATGTTAATGCCAAAGATTGGAAGAGAAAATTCAAGAAAAGAAATGATTGATTTAGTACCTACTATGTATGCTATACTAAAGAAATAACAATTTATTAACTGAAACATTTTATGCTATTGTTTATAACTTCAGGTGTTTTTTTGTATTCTCGCATTTTCAACAGATATATTCTTGATGAATTAATACAATTATAGCACTGACCTGAAGGACTTCCTGGTCTTATATTTGACCCATTGGTTTGTACTGTTTGAACTGGACTAGGTGGGTGTTGCGCTACTGGTGGTTCCAGAATGTCACGATATTTTGATACCATCAATACAGAGATGAAGTAAACTATTGCCAGGGACAGAAACTGAGCCTGTTTGGTTTCCTCCTGCAATTATAAATTTTTATTAAGTATTACTTTTTTTATATTTATGTAATAAAATATAAAAAGGACTTACAACATCTCTATAAATGACAGCGCGCAATCTATTGACATCCATATCTTGCAATAGTTTTTCTGGGTCTTTTACCGGACTAAGTTGATTTGCCAAATTATCTACGATATTCTACAGTGTAAAAACATAATTAAAATTCATGATTTTACTTACAAAATATATATTTATACTTTTATCAGGGAATAACAAACTTTACAGTAAAAATACGCATATATGAATGATCATTACGAATCAAACTTTTATCTATCTATTTTGACTAGTGTCTAATGTGAAAAAAGTGAAACTAAATAGAAATACTCTAACACTATAACAATAAAGTTTGAACGGTAAAAATCTTGCAGAAAATCATAAATTTGTCAACAGACTTTTTTATGATTGTACGTTGTAGTCATGGTAGCTATTGTACATGTATATTGATGTAGAGTATTGTCTGTAAACTACATACCTTCGGTGAAGTTTGAGCTCCACGAATAAGTGATTGTATGTGCTGTGATTTGTTACTAGTACCAATTTGTCGAGCTAACATGCTGTAAGTTCTGCCACGCTCTTTACACTCTAAGCAATTTCTAACGGCACATGTACAGACCTAAAGAAGCAGTTTGTCATAAAGGATTAAGGTAAATTATATGTTCTGAAAACGATGTGGATTATTAGCATCGTAATAAGGTGATAATAGTGAATAATTCTATATTTATAAAAGTACTTCAATATGATTCAATTATGTTAAATACTATTGATGAATACTGGTTGAAGAATGAAAATCAACTTTTGAATGTAAAATCATATTATATTATAGTTAGTGTACTTATTATTACGTGTGCTGATTTCACTTCGCTTTTAAGAAGGTTTTTATGTGAATTGTAAGTATAGTACTCGGTGGAAATTAATCGTCGTTTATAAGCATATAAACAGAATGAAAACGAACACATTTATTATTATGGCGCTTCAGACTATTTTCTAATGCTATTAAAAATCTTCATACTATGTAACAAATACAAACCAATCGTAAGCATTGCCGTAGAATGCCACCACTAGACATATTTTTTTCTGCTTCTAATTCTCCAAAATTCAAAGAGCTTGCGAATATGAGTACATCTGCCATATTGACAAGTCTTTGGAGAAAAGAAACTGCAACTTCTATTGGCATCCCTTGAGTTGGTTCTATTACGTCCATTTCACTCTGTGAAAATGTTTTATTCTGATATACAATTCACGCTTTTTCAGTTCATTAAAGGTATTATTTTAGAAGATAATATCACTTTTATTGGTGATATTAGCCAATGATAAAACTTACATTCGGAGAGGTAGCAGAAGCTAATAACGGTAATAATCCACCACATGCAATTATCAAATTATCTGCTAGTTGAGAAATTAAATGTACAGTATTAACAACAAATATGGCATTATCGCTACTATTGACAAAATCCAAAACTGATTTGGTTGAATGGCTAAAAGTAAAAAATGTAATTAGCTATAAAATTGCTTACAGAGCACCAAGTATTTAAAGTTTACTACCTTCTCCAGACTTGAATATCAGTTTCCAATGAAAATAATACGTCAGATAGTAGTCTTTGATGAATATATGACCATTTGAATTCTGGTATCCTAAAGGGCGGTCTTGATGGCCCTGGACTAAACATTGGTCTTGTGGAGGGATTCGTTTGCTTCGATTTTTTAGATTCTGTGAACAAGTGATATGAAATATTACAAATAGAAGCAATTAGAAATTGTTGAGATGATTATAAACTCACCAAAATGATTTGGATCAACTTGCGTCGAAGTAGAGGTACTTCTTGGTCTTTCCTGCGGCGAAGAATTCTTGGCGGGTGACAGCGAAGCATCGCTCTCATTGCTGTCAACAGCCAAGTTTTCGGTGGAAACGTTCGGCAGACTAGACCTACGCCGATGCGCTTCGGTAACTATTGTGTGTTCAAACTCGTCGTCGGCTATCAGAGAATTGTCGATTGCTGCAGCATCGGCGTCTACGTTTTTAGGTATTACACCATCGGTCGCGTTTTGTGCCGCTTCTGCAATCGCTGCCGCATCGCAGACCGTGGATATCGTTGAGATTTGCTCTTTGGCATTTGGCACTTGCGTCACATTATCTGTACAACTTTCAACATCATCGTTATGTTTATTACACGCATCACTAGAGGCTTCATCTACGACTTCGTCAGCGTTCGTCGCAGTGGCTGGCGCAGCCGTGGCTTCTTCCTCTAGTTTATCACTATGACTAGTAGAAATTATGGACGGTTCTTTCGTATCGCATTCGACTACGTCTTTAATTTTATTGTCGTCGCTAGCGGCAATAATTTGCTCTTTTTCAGCATCGCGCTCTCCATTCGATATTGCATTGTTCTCGGGGTTCAATGTATTTGTGATTTCTGCTCGTGTTCTTTCTTCCTCAACCGGGCTACTCGATCTATTTTTATTTTGTTCATTATCTTCACTTAATTGATTTTTCTCGCATTCATTATCAGTTTTTTCCGGGCATTCTTTCGTCTCAGCGACTTTGTTTTCCTCGATTTCTCTTGTTGCACTCTCTAACGAGTTTTCCACTACTTTACTTTCTACAGGCGAATCATCTTTTTCAGCATCAACAACGTTGATTTTCTTATCTTCTGTGAGAATATTGCTAGCTTGTGCTTCTTCTGATTCATCTACATTCTTGGTTAATTCATTTGTGTTGTTTACATCTTTAATATTAGCTTCATCTTTTGTTTCGATTTCCAAAGCTGATTTCGTATCTTCTGCTTTGTCAATAATTTTCTCCGGTATATCTGACGAATTTTTAATAGAAACGTCAGCCTTGCTAGTATCGGACTTATCACAGTATCCGTTCGCTATCTCCTTCGCAGGTGATCCATTCGTGCTCGCTATATTTGTCTCCGTGTGATTCGCCGGTTTTTCTTCCGACACTTCACAATCCTTTTTATTGAGCTCTTGTTCAGGCGCTGTCTCCATAGAAGGTGACCGTGAGGACTCTTCGCTTTCCCTAATTGTCGAGAGTGAATCCTCATTATTTTGCTCTTCTTGATTCATTCGGATGGTTTCGTCTGCCTTTTGTCGATCAGTTTCATTGACGAAAGATTCGAGACTCGAACTTTCGACTTTTTGGGTGTCGCTTAAAAATTCACTGGAACTTTCCATTGAAACGACTTCGCTCGTTTCTTGCGTCGTTTGCAGCTCGCAAGAAACTGATACTTCGCTGTTGACTTCTTCGAGAACGGTTGGTGTCTCAGTGTGAGATGTTGGGGCGATAGCTTCTGGTTTATCGCTTGATCGTGACTCCAACGAAACGACTTCACTGGATTGTTGAAGGTCAATGTTAACTTGATTTCGCGAAACAACGATTGCTGGACTACCATCGCTCTCCGTGTTGTCAATGGAATTGAGATCGCAACTGCAAGACTCATCCATTCTATCAATTGCCTCTATTGCATCGTATTCCTAAAAAAAAATTTTAGTTACACGAACTGATTTGTAAATAGTAACAAATTCTTACTAATAAAGTCATCGCTACCTTGTAATTTCCATCAACGTGCTGTATTTCTCTGGAGTGTTCATCTGCCCATTGACCCGATTGATTATAACCATTATTACCGGAATGCTGATCCCATCCAGATATCGTACTGATTGGTCTTTGCTGTCTTACTTCCGGATCAGTAATGTTATCAGATCGTTGCCTCTCGTAGTGTTCGTACATTTGAGCAAATTGCAATTTAAATTCTTCATAGGACACCTAAAAATCAAACAAATTTTATTTTTGATGTATCCATAATTATTTAATGAACTATAAGAAGACCTGTCAATAAAACATACTTTGGAATGTACAATTGCAAGCGTATCGACCCAAACTCTCCAGCCTCCATATTCGTGTTTAATTGCATGATGTAGTAGCATTCGAAATAAAGAATATACCATGTCAGAGATCTTTTGCTCTTCTGTATTTTTTGGATGAATGTATGCCATGGCTATAAGCCATTCCTGCCAAACAGACATTTGTAGGACTGTACGTCGATTTTCGCGATTGTTGTTGCATAGTAGTGTCATATCCGAAAGAAAGAGTTTTTTCACTTCAAGTAACTGTTCTGTTTGTTTTGACTGCCTAATTAAAGTAGCAACGACTTTCAAGATCACTGAAAATAGATCAATTATGAATATTGTAGTTGCAGAATCGGATTTTGTTTAGATGTTTTATAATTTTTTAAATATTACTTGGATTTTCTAGACGGTAATGGGATTCTGGTTCTGGATGTCTCGTGTACAATATTTGTTGACTTATATGTTCCGTCATTATCTGTTGGAAAATAATTACTTAGAATCATATAAAATTGTTCAAGTAACATACAAAATAAAAACAACCTCATATAAAACATTGTATGTAGGTAATGTGAGGGTCTCCTCGTTTAAAAGCAATCTTTCCGCGAGAAGTGTATACAAATTATGAGGACTCATAACGTCATATTTTCTTCTGAAAAATTAAATTTTATTTGAAATCTTTTCAACATATTTAAAACACAAACATCAAAAATAACACAGGAAACTTCTTACTTGTGTGTACTCCTACTAAGGAAAAAGCCTAGCAGCTTCAGCGCTTGCAATCTGATCAATTGACTCTCGGCAGCAAGAAGTTTAAAGATTGTCCTAACGCCTTGCTTTGCATCAAAAGCTGGAACCATAGACGAGGGATGCTCTGACATCAAAGATATCAACATCTGTAGTACGTCGTGTAAATTTTCATCCTGAAATTTAATTTAAAAATTTAATTTAAACATTAAAATAATACTCAAATATTGAGAAAATTATTTTATTCTTTTCTTTATGAAATAACCTCATGCATGGTTGTTAAGTAATTTAAAATACTCTGCAGTTCGTCATCTTTAACTCCATTTCCAATCATAATCAGCTGCTTCAGAAAGAGCAAAATATACGATCGTATCGTTAAAATATCTTTTTGTTGAGGCCTCGGTCCATCTTAAAATAAAAAGTTGTCAATTAAATATAACAAACATCAATAATTATTAAAATAAATGAAGCGTTAGTAAAATAGTCATTAAAATCTTGAGAAAAAAAAATTACCTAATCCTTTAGGCGTAATGCCGCTTTTACTTCGGGGATTTGCTACCCAGTAATAATACTTGAGCGTGTGGACCGTCTGTAAAACGGTAGAGACGCGTCTCACATTTGAGTAGATCTGCGTATCGCTAAGGAACTCGGTGGCTAGATAAGAATAGAGGCGAGTTTGGACGGGCGCTGGTGTATATATCCACAGTGCTGGATTGAAAAGGACATGGTCCAGCAGCTGCCATTTCAGGAATGAAACATAAAAATACTGTCGTCACCATAGGTCTGCCTGTCCTTCGGACACACGAATCTTGACCGACTTTTCAAATTTTCAATTTCATATACAAACGCTATTAAACTTTGGAATCTTTTAATTTTTCACTCTATTCCAAACAAATTTTTTTTATTCCAGCAGTTAATGAGACTTCATAAAATGTAGTTTATTGACATATGACTTCACAATTCGGACGGAAAGAAAGCTTTATTTCATACATGAAGACTTTTTACGATTCTACAAAATTATAAATGAATAATATAATTTCTCAACCACCCGTATGGCTCTTTAATTTCAATTTGCTTTACAATAAATTAAAAAGTAAATTAAATAAAAGGTAATAAATTCCATTTTTTCAATTAATTATTCAAAATAAATTTTATTCAAATATTTAACTAAATGGTTATTTCAATAAAACTTCGCACATTGAATTTTATTTCTAAAATATTTAAAAGATATCTTACGTTTAATTAAAGTTACATTTTTAATCGTGTGAATAATTATACATGTAATATAAAAATTAGATTTGTTCGTTTGGACTATACTTATAAAAGAATATTTGTTAAATATTTAAGTATAAAAAATAGCAAAAATGAAAATTGAAATTTGAAAAAAGCGGAAATCTTTCCATTGAGCTACGCATGCATTATGCATGTCAGCGAATTTTTTTATTTTATGGTTAGAGTTTATGGATTATGATAATAACCATGTTCTAATTTTTTAATTGACAGAAATCTATTGCTTTGTTTATCAATCATTTTATAATTAGTAACTGATAACGAATATTATTGAGAGAGATGAATAACTCGTTAAATAAAACATTGTAACATGAGTATTTCAATTTTACATCTCATATTCACTTGTTTGAAGATACTAATGCAAAAGATATCAACAAATATTAAAAATACTCAAATATATAATATTCATTGTTATAATAATGAAACATTTTAACATAGTCTATCGATACCGTTGAATCGTGTTATTTGATTTTATCTAAAAGAATATGTCTTTATCGTACGTGTTCATGAATGTAATCAGTATAGTTATCTTATCTGGAATGTTATTAATAGCAAAGTAAGCGAATTTCATAAGCTGCTTTTCGGAAAAAAAAACTTTTTGGTGAGAAGCATTTTATATGCGAAGAGAAAATTCAAAAGTCGGTAGATTGCATGCGTTCCATTTTATTTTTAATATTTCACGCAGTGTTTTTATTTATGAAAATCATGCTTATCACACAATTCTAAATGACAATTTCCATATTATAAAGTAAATAAAAAAATATTATACGTGAAAATGAAGTAAATATATAATATTTTATGATATGAGAATAGTGTGTGCTTAAGCACCAAGGAAACACTTTTTGCTGTTATATGATGAGAAAAAATAGGTGCAGGTAAAAACCATATTGCGCAGAGTAAAACATTGAAAAACCGAGTATTGACATAAGAAGACTTGCAAATTCGGTAAGGAAATATTTGATTAAAATGAAATGCAAATGTTATTAAAAATCTATAATTTTGAAAGTTCATCGTGAGACTGGCTTTTTAAAAATACCTGTTTCAGGAGAAGGTCACTATTAGCGCTGAGACACGTGACTAGATGTTTCGTTAGCTCTAGAAAGGAGGCAAGAACCTCTGTGGTCAGATGATCTCGACTCGCTCTTTGGAGCATGTAGCTAATCACGAGGAATCCTCGGTTTTGCACCATATGCTGTTGGACTGTTTGCGAGCTCTCAACGAGATCACAGATGAATCCAAGCAGTTTTGAGCTATGCAGAAAGTGGAAGCGTTAAGAAACAAAGATAGATATTGTAAAAACATGTTTAATAAATGTTCTGTTGATATATTTAAGTAACATTACCATAACGTTGGATCACGCTTAATATCGTTTGGCGCTATACAGTCGTAAGGCATATCTAATTGTGAAAATAATGGAAACAAAACTTGAATTCCACCTATGGAATTCAAAGTGCTGTGTATGGAGTGCGTAATAACAGCTTTGACGTCCTAAAAATCCACAGTACATCATTATTGCACGTCATGAAATGACTTATCATAAAAGTAGCAAAAACCATACCTGCAGCATAAGGGCATGTGGAGTATGTACAAAATAGGAGACATTTCCTTTTGGAGCACTTTGCAGACACAGTTGAGAATCAGTTGCGACAGGATTGTACATAAACATGATGGCATTGGATAATTTTCCATCATAAAGGACCTATGTTACAAAAAGTTTCCGGTTACTAAAGAGATTCGATAAAACTATTGAAAAACAACTAAGCAGCTACGTCAAACTTGCATATTTTAGTCTACAGAATGTTGATATAATCTACAGGAGAAAAATATCCGAGAGATACTTTTTTGTAGTTGACTAAAACGGGCATTTTTGATATTCGTCTTAGATGTACAATTACTTCGTAACATTGAACATGTATTTTTTTTTTTTTTTGAAAGAACTAACTATTTTCTAGTTCTAATAGTTATACCTATGAATGATACGTTTACTCAAATCAACTAACGCAAATACTAGAAGAAAAAACCATCAACAAATAAATAATCACATGAAACGAAAACAACACATCGATGAGAGAAGCTTTTGATGGATCAAAACGAATATTTACAAGAGAGAAACGTATGAGAGAATTGTTTTGAATTGGTGTTAAACGAATATGTTACCTGAAACGAAGGTGAGCGCAGTAAAAGACGGATACGTGCGTAGTTTGATAAATATCAAATCATGATAGTTGGCAAAAAACGCAAAATAAAAAAACAAACAAAACGGGATGCTTACAGTCATCATACTTTGGTCCACCATGCTTGTGAGCTCCAGCTCAGCACTCACCCTTTTATGATTGTCGGGCAGATTAAGATAACACTCGTTGTCGAAGCGGAACTGACTCTGAAGAGAAAAACACTAAGGTCATGGCAGTGGAAACGTGGTATTGAATACGAATGATTTACCTTGTATCCGGGGCCTAGTCGGTGCATCGCGCAAATCTGATGCGTGGTGAGGGCTTCGCTGAAGAGATAAATCGCACTCATCTGTCCGCAGAAGACGCGCTCCTCATCTAATTCTGGCGTGGCGCCAATATAGCACTTATCGAAAGGCTGCGAACGAACGCGAGAAAAGAAAGTGTGATAGGCGAGTGACGAGTGAGTCGAGATGAGATACTTGCTAGCCAAGAACTCACCTCGTTCGTCGAGACGAACCAGGCCATTTCGGTACTCGACGCCAGCTGACCGTTTACCAGACACTTGATCTCGCTCTTCGTCCACCTGTTGTATATGTACACCACGGCAATCATGTACCACTGTTGACAGATCATTATGCATGATCATTATCATTCCGACTTGTCTTTGCCTAGAAATTTACCTTCCGCGGCTGGAATTCGTATTTGACACAATGTTGGAAGCCCTTGCCCTTCACTTTCATTGACGTGAGTACGAGGCAATTGCCAACAAAATGCGCCGAGTAGCCCACGCCCTTGCTGGTTTTGAAACTGGAAATTCAACAACAGCGTATAGATTACATTATTCAGAATAAAACTGGGAACAGGGAAGCTTGTTTTGCGGGCCAAATCGAACTGACTCCATTGAACGATTACAAGGAGAACAGCAAGATCATAGGTGAGCCGCAGGGAAGGCAACGACAAGTGCTTTCCAAAACTACTTGTCGTTTAACGTAATTGCCGTACTCACCAATACAGGTAGGGCTTCTCTCGCTCGATATTGACGGAGTTGATGGGATCCAGCCTGAACCACGTGGTAAATGTGAAACCGCTCTCGTGCGGCCATTTTGCTAATGGTGGAAGGACGATTGCCTGAACAAATAAAACCAATGAAATTGGATCAAGTCACGCGTGCCAGACTCGCACAAGCTTGAGGAAGGAAGTGGAAGAGAGGGGCGACGGAGCTCTACGGGACATTACAAGGCTAGCAATGTTAATTGTCTCACCGATCCTTTTCGGCCGGGAAAACTGAAAAAGACGTCGGGGCCATTGCGTTGCGGCATTTGCCGCAGGACGTTCAAAAGCTTGGCCGAATGCCGTGGCTGCAAAAATCGAAATTGATTTCGTTACTCGCCTCGGCTAAGAGAGCAGAGAAGAGGAAAGAGAAAAGAGAAAAGCTAGCGCGCGCCGCTCCGGCTGGTCGGCTGCACTGTCGGCTTTGAGCGCTTCTATCACGCACTCACATAGCGCGGGCCGACCGCGGCTTACTACGGCGCTTACCCATTTCCCTTTGACTGCCTTCATCGCCCCGAACAAAAGCTTCAATTCTTTCACCGTTATGCTGTAGCTCGCCAGCACGCCCAGCATGTCGATCAGCAGATCTGCACGTTTCAACAAACAATACACATACATCGCGTGAATGCATTTCCATTTCAATTTGTATCGTTCGGCCAGACTGTCTGCCTGTTCTACCGACAAGTCGGCCAATTTCGTTCATTGGCCTTATACTTCATTTCCAATCTGCCCGCTCATCTCTGTGCGTTGGCCTTTTCTCAATTTACGTACCTGCTACGACAGTCTCTGCACGCGTTAGCCGGTGCAAAACGTGCTCAATCAGATTTACGTCCGTGCATGCTTGTAGGTTCCTCACGCTCTTCCTCAGGATGGCGATAAACACGCTCCATATTTCAGCCTAAACAAACAAACATTTCGAGTGTTCAGTCGTCTTGTTTACTCGGTTCAATGAGAAGTCTATTGAACGTGAAATAGCCTCATTATTCAAGTAGCAAACTGTCAAGCTAGACAGACCTGTGTTTGCGAAGCCCGCATAAAACTCAACTTACATTTTTCTAAAGAAAGAAGGAGCCGTAAGGATAGAAAATACGGTTTGCAGCAGAGGAAAAATGCAAAGGAAGACCGCTGCTCGCGCAATTTTCCGCGAAAGTCAGCGCGCGCATCTGGACACACGCGTACGCGTGGAATGCAATAATAATGGAATGCGTCATGTATATGCGGCCCCTTTCCGTTCTAGCTGCCCTGCCCCCGCCGTAGCTCGGCTATAAGTATAGATTCCGAGAAGGGGTAGCTCGACGTTGAGGTACGTGCAACTCGTACGAATATCAGATCATAGGCGAGGTTGTAACGTGGCTACAGGTGCGCGAGCGCTCTGTCATTCACATTGACGCAACAAGCTCGCGAGAAAAACGTTGGAGCGCCCGAGGCTTTTCAATCTGAGCTTTCCGCGAGGACGTGCCGTTGAATGTATTGTTACGAGGCGACTCAGTTGGTGCGATACCGGTGTAGCACAGCTCCGCGCTCACTTATATATTACTACCTAGCTAGTAGCTAGGTAGTAATATATACCTAGCTAGACATGCAACTGGCTGCCTTCGCCTCATCCACCCCATCTCGCGTCTGCCCGAGAGCTTTTCCTTTTATTCGAGCTTTCTTCGATACTACGCTCTTCCTATTAAGTCGAACCTCTTTCGTCTGATGGATGCTATTAAAATTTATAAGTGAACGTAGTTATGCTTGCAGCCGGCTCGCGTACTAAAATGCCTGGCCGCGCTTGCTATTTGCGCATGAATTTCGATCGGCTAGTTGCAAAAGCACCTGATCCAATGCGGACAGTGTTGAGTTGCCGTATCGCATCTCAGCAAACATAAAAGACCAATGTTAACGCTGTAACGCATCGGGTTGCGCAAGCAAACGCGTCCCTATAAATCTATTGTATTGAATAAATCTTGCTTTATCAACACATTTCTTATTTTGTATATTCATTATTTAATGTCCCAGCAGTCATATATTGACGTTGCTTCTGCTTTACGACTTCTATTCACTTTGAAATTTTGTGTAAAATTCAGTAGGAAAACCAAAATGTAAATCTTCGGTGTTTTCCGAACAGCCAGTAGAATGAGTCAATAAATGGTCAGCCAGCTACGTGCACTGTTAGAATACACAATTGTTATTCGATGAAGTATTCAAACTGTTTGCTAATGCGCGGACAGCAGAAGAGTCAATTGGCCGATTGAATATCTACATAAATAAATCGTCGCAGTGTTCGAGCAATCAAAGTAAATTGTGGAATTGCATTGAGCTGAAACGACTGCAATGAAAAAGCCATTAGGAAATGAGGCTGAGAATGAAATAATGGAATGATAAAAGACTGCAAAAGAACTAAATGAATTGGCGGTCGGTTGTTGCTCCGTTTGACATGACGTTGTCCTCGAGTTAGAAGTGCAAGAAATGTCGCGCGCGTCTCACTGTGTTCAATCGAACGGCACACAATTTGAATCGTTTATCGGTATTTCGAAAATTCGCTACCGCCTCGCAAGCATGATTAATTGGAGAGCGATGAGTCAGTGCAGCAATATAAGTGTTGTAATATTTAAGGCATAAAATTAAACTACGAGCTTGCGCTCAATTATTTCTCCAATTATACGGCTCAACGAGCAGTAGCTAATTAGCAGGAAGCTTTCGCTCTCTCAGGCCGCGTAACGGGCGCTCAATTAGGTCGCGCCGGTTAATTTTATTAATCGAACTCAACCGCGCGTCAATTGAACAGATCTGCCGCGCACGCGACGATGAGTCCAATACTCCAGCTGATGAACTAGCCTTCGTTTACTCGCGTGGCATTGCGTCAAATTCAACCCCCTATACCGTTACCACATCTGCGCAAGGCGTCGTTCCTCCATTAATGGTCACCGCATCGGATCGATTCGTTGACTAACTTGGCTGATTCCACTGAACTTCAACTCTACGAATTCTACATGCACTTCGATTCCCTTCTGTCCGCTATCGACAATGATACGATCGAGACGGGATGCTTGCTTATAACCATGTATTTCAAAATAACATCTTACATTATACCTAAAGATAGTTTAAAATCTCGATTATATATTGCAAACTGTCAGATTTACGACGATTTTTCAAGTTACGCTAGCCTAAAAAATGTATCACTCTATTCTGCTTGTGATAATAATTCTCCTTAACCTCTTCTAACCAACATAATGAACGACATAATAAAATAACTTTTCTTTTAATGGATCTGTTATTCCTTTGTGCTAAAAACTTAAAATGTAAAAGAATATGTCGTTTAGTGGATATATTTTCTTATATAAATGCGTATACTATTTGGAACTTAAAGATTCAATATCTGCCTACAGATGTGGATACAGATCATTCAACAAGACATAAAAATTATTAAAAATAACCAATTTAGCTGCGATAGCTTCGAGCAGGTAGATAGTACTGAGATGGATTAAATTAATTCAAACTACTTTTTACTTTACGTAATATTCTATTTTCAAGAGTACATTAGGTACATATGTAATTGTAGACTGCATGTTACTGTGAAGAAGGTTAAAGTCGAGGAAACAGTGGCATTAAAGACTGCTATGTTTTGCTAAGGCCTAGAACTTTTTTGTTTCCTTTGTATATAAGACTTTTCTTTTATTATTCAACAAACTTTATATAATATATTTTTAATTTTTAGCTCATTATGCAGTTTTTATTCATTTATAAAACATGTAATATTATATGAGCTTTGGAGAAAAAATGTTTGTAGTCAATTGTGCTACTTAAGCATACATAAAATTGTAAAAATAAACATTTTAATTTTTCAAAACATTATTTCAATGTTGACGTTGAAACCTTTTAATTAAAAAAATAGCTTTTGTTAAGTATTCGACATGTAAATAAGCTATTTATAAATATAATTATTTATTAATATAAATAAGCTGACAAAACTTATTGGATTTCAGTGTAAGCTAATAATATTTTTCAAGATGTGATCTACGTGTTAAATAAATCCTAATAAGTTAACGGTACAGAAAATGAAATGAAATGTGTAAGAAATTTTTTAATAAATAAGTATAAATGTAATTCATATTGCAATCATGTGTAAAAATACAGATAAGAATAACATGTGTAATGTATAATTAAAAGAAGATCACAATACCTGAGGACACTTTGTTTCACTGGTATAATGTAGGTTTCTAACCACATCCATAAAGTTCAAAGTCTAAGCGTGCTCTTCCGTCGTTATTACACTACATTTTCAATTGTTTTCGAAAATAGTTGAGCAAATAAAGTTAGGAAATAATTTACGTGTACCTATATAATGAAACATGTATGTTAGAAATGCTCGAGATAACCAAGTTATTACACGACATTTTCACTTTGACTTTTAGAAGTATCTCGTTTTAATTTTTGAGTATTTGATTGTTGAATATAATTAGTTTGGATTCGGATAAATTTATGTACATACATCATAAAGAAAAATATGATATATTTGAATACAGAGCCCGAGAGAGTTTTATCTATGAATGTTAATACTTTTTGCACGAATGCCTACAGAATGTTATTGAAAATCATAACGGGTATTGAACCACTACGTTGCGATTTTTAGCAATAGCGTCGATTGATTGATTTTAGTGTACGACTATAAACATGGTAAACGCAAAAAATAGAAGAATTGTGCGAGTGCTTTTCTAATAGCTAGAGATAACTGCAAAATCTATTCGACATTCTATACATATGAATGTATATTTCATTATCTTATCACCACTTCGGATGATCAACAACCTCATTGTTTCCCACACAGTTCAAAAGTGATTGCAGAGAAAATTGATTTACGACGAGTAGAAATATTACCTATCATAATAAATACGAATATAATCCATTCTGACATGGCAAAATCTCGATTAACATCTGTACAGCTTTGCCCTTTAATTTTCCGCATAGTAGTTAATCCGCAAACCAATACCACTTTAAATGAGCACTGCTACACGGTCACGGAGTGTACGGCTCGACATCCATAAATTTCATAGTGTTTAATCCTGTTCAGTATTATGCAATAACAGATGAGAACAACAGGTTTAATCATAGCATCTCTAATACTTTTTGTAATTGGTAAATACTTATACCCCTTGAACAAACTTTGCTGATAGCATGTGAATAATTTATATATTAGGGATTTTAAGTGATCGCCTTTTAAGTTCAATTTTAGATAAACATGTAAAATTTATCAAGTAGCCAATGCTAATTCAAAAAGCTATCGAATGCTTGTTTACAAAGGAAAAGTTAAATTGAAAATATTGTCAAATATTGGTTCTAAAAGCGAAGTGAGTTCATCCAATAACAAAAGCACAATAGAAAGCAAATAAATCATTTTGTGGAAGAGCCTTCATATCAATATAATAAATGAGATTAGCGATACGAAGAATATCCTGCCTCTGGTTATTTTAGCGGTAATGTGATTGATGAACGTCAAGCTGCTTTTGTTGACCTAGTTTTTATAGAGTTTCCGCGATACCTTTTTTTGTCTCTATATAAAGAAATATCCACGAGCACGCTCTTTCAGCTGAAGATAAATAATGTCAAGTTATTTCAGATAAGTATAAGCATAAATGCTTATCAAATAATCTATGTGGAAAAAGAAATACTATTGTGTTTATTCGCAGGAGTATACGCGTGTACGTCAGGCGTCAACTTGATAATTATAGATTTTCAATAATTAAATTTGCCGGATCAATGGCGAGCACGATATCCTAAGAGCCGCTGGAGAAAACTGTCAATATCTATTTCTTCCAGTTAAATGTGCTACAAAGACTCCACTCCTTCTCTCTTTTCCATTTATTCTTCCTGTTCATCTTTTGCATATTAGCCAAATTGAGTTTTATAACTGTCCGA